AGGGCTGCCGCCGGCTGCCACGCGGCCGGTGGGCTCCTGGGAGGTCCAGCGGAAAAACGTACGGATGCTTGAAGAATGCTACCTCCCTCACCCCCTCCCTCTAAGCACAAGTAGCCTTTCGAAGGTCCGCGCAGTTTTCTCCGATCTGTGCTGGGCTCCCCTGGATGGCGCCTCCGGCGCCGCCCCTGGCGCGCTGCGAGTGCCAGGGAGGGGGTTCAGCGCCACCTCCGAAGGTTCATGTTCGGGGAGTTGCTTGTTCTTCTAGAAGTTGGTCCCGATGCCGCCGTTCCTCTTGGAGAGCCCTCGTCGCGATGGCTGGCCTTTTCCCCGAGATTCTGGTCGAAGAGCGCGCCCCAGGAGAGGTCTGGGGAGCGGCGGTATCTCGGCTACACGGGAGGGTGACCCTTCGACGGCGGGACCTCGATCGGCAAGCAGCACTCCAGAGACACCACAGCCCACCCCCACCCCCAGCCAGGACCACCTGGATCGCCAGGTCGGGAGTGGGGGTCCTGTCTGGGGGGTGGGGGTGGGCCGTGCTGCCCTCATAGGCTCTTCCCAGGGCCACTCCTGCGTGCCTGGCTGTGGGCGGGCTGTGCTGTCCTCGGAGGCCGTTCCTGCCCAGGGCCACTCCTGCGTGCAGCCGCGCATCGGCGCTGTGCCTCACTGCTCGGCTCGGCGGCGGCGGCTGCGAGCTCGCGCGCTCGCGGACAGCCCCTCGGCGCGCGCGGGCGGCGGCGGCGGCGCGGGCGGTGGCGCCCGGCGGCGGCGGGCGGCGGCGGAGTGCGGTGGCGTCGATGGCCCCGGCGGCGGCGGCGGCGGCGGCGGCGCTCGTGGAGGGGACCGGCAGCGCGTGGCAGGAGGGAGGAGGGAGGAGGAGGAGGAGGAGGATGGATGAGGAAGGGGGGAGGAGGAGGGGGGGAAGGGGGGGGCAGGGGCAAGCTAATTAGGTGCGCTCGCGTCACATCTGGCGTCCTACCCCTCCCTCCCGTCCCTCACCATGGCGCAGATCCTCTCTCTATTCGCACAGTCGGATGTCGAGCAGGGCAATGATCCCGAGAGGGTACGCGATGCATCGTAGAGCACGGCATCGCAGGGCGTAGAAGAATACGGCAGAACATAGTATGTCATAGCATGGCGTGGCGTTGCGTAGTGAGGAATTGCATCACACAGCATTTCAACGCATATAATGGCATCCCACAGCGGCACAGATCAGAACATGGCGTAGCATGGCGTTGAATATCAAAGCGTAGCATGGCATAGCATGGCGTGGCCCTGCGTAGTCAAGCATATCCTAGCATTGCAGCCGAAGGCATGGCATCGCATAGCGGAACACCACATAGCATTGCAGTGCATGCCGTGGCGTGGCCTTAGAAATAATGACGCCAGCGCTGCCGCGGGAGCACGATTCGGAACGAGAGGAAGCGCGGAAATGAGGCCAGCACTGCAGCGGGAGCACGATTCGGAACGAGCGGAAGCGCGGAAGTGAGGCCAGCGCTTCAGCGGGAGCAACATTTCGAACAACAGCCCAAGCGAAAACCCAACTCCCGGGAATCCCGTGTGTAAAACCAGTACACGGAGGTGGGCCGAGTATCTTCCGGACGTCATCAGGGGAGTGAGCAGAGTAGTATTCATATTTTGTATTTGTGGAGGAGGAGGAGGAGGAGCAGGAGGAGGAGGAATAATAATTAGAGGAATAATAGTAAGAATGATACTGAGTAGAACAATCATCATATGGAGAAGAATAATAATAGTAATAACACGAGGAGGCGGATTCAACTAGAAGGATTCAATGAGAAGCCGTCCACGCGGCAACGATCACAGGGGCCCAACATCATCGGTGGAAGTTGACACCGACACCGACGACCCTAGGACCCCCGTGACCAGTCACTTACACGGGCGGTGCCGTGTTCTGCCCCTCTCTCTTCAAGGGGCGCAGACCTCCAGCTGGCTGGGGTTCCATGCAGCTGCGCCCCAGAACGACACCGCACGAGGGCGCACTCGGCGAGGCAGCAGCTGCGGGACAGTGACACTCAACTCGGGCCCTTCGGACGCGGGAACGCCAGCCCTCAACTCCGCTCTGAGCCTGGCCTGGCATTTGCAGCACGTACAGACCTGGGCTGGGGGGGCCCTCCCTTCTGGGATGGAGCCCCTTGCGACTTCTCGAGAGGTTCTCCGCACCCTAGCCTGTGGGACACATGCAGGGCCTTCCCTCCCAGGCTCATCACGGCAACCCTACCCGAGGCTCCAGAGGCCTGAAGGGCCGTATTGAACGCCGGATGGGGAGGCTCACGCGGGGTGGTCGAGGAGGAGGAGGAGGAGGAGGAGGAGGAGGAGGAGGAGGAGGAGGAGGAGGAGGAGGAGGAGGAGGAGGTAGACAAGCACGGGAGGTGAGCAAGGAAATACGTACGGGGGGGAGGAGGGTGCGGCATAGACGCTTGTCGTGCTCGCGACCGGCTGCCAGTCTCGACCCGCAGCTGCGGGGCACCCCGGTGAGCCTGCCATGGCGGAAGACGCGGAGGCGTTCCCCTCGCAGTACGACGAGAACGGGGACAGCTCCTGGGACAAGGCCCCGACTCCCGGACGGCTCCTGGGGCAACTCGTGTGACCATTCTGCGTTTGGTGATAAGCCACCCCCGCAGACAGCCCCGACTCGACCGCCGTCGCGGGCAAACATGGCCGCGCGACGTCGACCCCAGCCAGCCCACGCCACCCGCGGCAGAAACCAGGCCCCGGGCCCACTGGTGTGGACAGGTTGACGCTGACCCCCGTCGGGGGCCCCCCACGCTGACTACCGAACGCAGAGCACGCGTGGAGGGTCGGGGAGGACGATGGGATGGATGTGGAGGAGGATGATGGGACCAGTGTAAACCCAAGACTCATCAACGATTTTGGAAGAAGCCCTCCCTCAAAGCTCCCTCTTCATAGGCCCCTACAAGGGTTCATCTCCACTGATGGAACTGCCTCGGTGGGAGACAGCCGTTTGAAGACCCTGAAGCGTACCAAACACCGTCCTCGGGACTCCAGCGCCACGGATCGACCTGACTATTGCGTCTTGACGATCGTGAACCGTGCGTCACTATTCATGATTCATGGGACGTCAACACCGCGAATCAACGTAACGGTTGCATCCTCACAATCTGGAGTCCTTCCGAAGCACCGTTTCAAGTACGTTGACCATGGGAATCCGTGAATCCCTTGCAAATTTTCAAAACGAATGTGCGCGGCGCCAAGGCGAGAGCAACATTTTTAAAACCAACCGCCCTCAATCCGTGAAGCTCTTCCTCATTTTAAAACGAGTGTGCGTGGCCCTAGGGCGAGAGCCACATTTTGAAAACCACCCGACCTCAAATCAGTGAAACTCTTACATTTTTCAGAACATGTGCGCGGCGCTAAGGCGAGAGCCACATTTTGGAAGCGACTCGCCCTCCACTTGTGAAACTGTTGCACTTTCTTTAAGTTTCAGGGTCGTAAATGGTGAGGAAGTCTCAGGCGAAACGCCCAGCCCGCCCTTTCGACCAGCCTCGGGGTGCGACAGGGAGGAGGCATTTTCCAGGAAACTGAATTGGGGCGGTGGAGAAGGCTGGGAGATGAGTTGGTGTGGGGAAGGGATTTGTGGACTGAAAACGATGGGGATGCGGAGTATGAGGACGAGGAGGGTGAGGATGAGGAGGAAGATGGGGAGAAGGAATAGGAGACGGAAGAGGAAGGCGAAGTTGAAGGGGGCGCTCAAGATGGTGAACATGATGATGGTACTGGACCAGAGTCCTTCTATCCCTACTCCTTCCTCGTCTCACCCGGTATTCCCTCCTCTCCCTCTCCCTCATCTTTCCCCCCCCTCTCCATCTCCCCGTTTACGGGTCGTCCACGACTGGACCAGACTGCCCCTCCTCTCCGTCTCCTGATATGGCTGCACCTGAGAGTGGCCCTTTGCTGGAGTGACTTGGTGCGTGGCTTCCAAGAACGCGGGGGTTGGGTGGGCGTGCAAACCCAAGCACGCAGACCGCTGCTGGTGGCCGCACACCACAGGGTCACTCTGCCAGGCATTGCTCTCGCGCAGCCGAGGGAGTCTGGGTCGGAGGATCGCGCTGCACCCCCGACGCATCGGCGATGCGGCGTGATCCTCAGACCCCGTCCACTCGGACCCCATCTGGGAGGTCTCCAGAGGAGCACTTCGAGGCTCGAGGACGGAGATTCTTGCTGTGCGATGGCGGGCCCGAGCATCGAGGATGGGATCGACGAGAACCAAGCGCTTTTCCCGACCGTCCTGTGGTGTTGGGTCCTCGTTTTGAAAAGACGGTCCCCGCGTTCTCCTCTTCTCCTCCTCCCCCCCTCCTCCCTTCCCTCACTTTGGCACACCCCTCACACGTTTCGTGGCCCCATAGGGAGCTCCACCGAAGGCCCTAGCGGGGGTGCCCGCATGCGGTCCCCATACCCATTTCGGCACACTCCTCACACGTTTTGTGGCCCCATCGGGAGCTCCACCCAAGGCCCCAGTGCCACCGTCCACTTGCGTCCTCCACACCCATTTTGGCACACCCCTCACACGTTCCGCCACCCCATAGTGAGCTCCACCGAAGGCCCCAGTGCCACCGTCCACCTGCGTCTTCCACACCGATTTCGGCACACCTCTCATACGTTTCGTGGCCCCATAGGGAGCTCCACCGAAGGCCCCAGCGCTACCGTCGAGAGGCGTCGGCCACACCCATGTCGTCACACCCCTCACACGTTTCGTGGCCCCACAGGGAACTCCACCGAAGGCCCCAGTGCCACCGTCCACTTGCGTCCTCCACACCCATTTCGGCACACCCCTCACACGTTTCGCCACCCCATAGTGAACTCCACCGAAGGCTCCAGTGCTACCGCCTGCATGCGTCCCCCACACACCCATTTCGGCACACGTTTCGTGGCCCCATAGGGAGCTCCACCGAAGGCCCCAGTGCCACCGTCCACATGCGTCCGCCGCACCGATTTCGGCACACCCCTCACACGTTGCGTGGCCC